CTATACCTTTCTGAACGTACGGAATAACAGCTGGGTTGAAGAGACGACTCTCTCACTAATTAGAACAGTATTTTGCATTTCCAATGGCCTCGGGGACCGCGTGACAGCCACTCGAGTGCAAATGCGGACCGGAAGGCACGGCGGTTTTGGGTCTCGTTCTAGGTATGGGACTACTAAAGAGAATGCGTAATTCGAACCGTAACGCGTAAAACGATTAATCTCTACTATAATTTCTAACGAGAATACGCTATATTTTTCAAAAGTTATAAAATCAAAGAACACTTTTTATTTATAGTCATTTACAACATTGTATTAAAATGTTTAAGCCCTTTAGATTCATTTAACCAGACCCACAATATTCTCGTAATTGCCCATAACATATCGTCAGAGAGGTTTGCATGGATATGTATTATTCAGATATATAAAGGTAAAAATGTTAACATATAAGCTACCTTCTTGAGACTGCCTATCTTTCATTTTTATTCCAGTCTTGATGTGTGTGATTGCTCTCATTAAGTAGGCACATTTTTGTACAAAACCAACATTTGAGAAATTTCAAAGGTAATAAAGGGAGTTGTTAGGTGCTCAGGCATTCAATCCACGCTCCGCGTCTCCCCCACAGTGCATTGGCCGGAGACTCCCCTCCCTGCAAGGCTGGCTGTGCCCACTACTTCCACTTTCACAGCTCTCGTGGGTTGACGACCGCCTTTTGAGAGCAGAATGCCCTTAGGCACAAGCAGGCGTTTGAACGCCCGACTTACAAGATACAGTGAACCCATTTACTGCGAAATTAATGGTGTGAGCATAGCGCTTGCCGAATGTCGTCGCGTTTGCAGCGAGCCAACAACCGTTTGCTTTACACCGACCTCTCCCTCCGACTTAGCCACAGGCATATAGCAGCTACGCACGATTTTAAAAGAAAACTAGAACTACCGCAGGTCATGAATACACCCCACCAGAAGCGATCAATGCTTTAGCAATCTCGGCTAAACCGACACCATGCGCTCAGAAATTCCTAACCAATCCATTCCAAACTTCCTCAGGGCGTAATGCGGTAATGGCGTAATGCGAATCGCAGTATGCCCTGAGGAAGGTCGCAGAATGGCGACCGAAACTTCGGCACCTTTGCAATGGACGCGGCGTCACCCAGACAGCCCATTAAATAAAAAACTGAAGCGTACTTTGCAGTCGGTGGCGGCATTCATGGACCCACAGGCGTATCTTAGATGAGAGAGTTAATGAAGTAAATAATTTGCGGTGCAACTGAGGCGTATTTTGCAGTCGGTGGAGACGATCGTGGGCCTGATGGCCTGGGTTGACGGTAAGGTTAATGAAGTAAATAAAATTGCAGTCGGTGGCGACGTTCGTGGACGTTCCGCTGCTGCGCCTTCTGAAGTTGCCGGCGGTGCAAGCGCCGCTGATTGACTTCCTGCGGCACAACGTGTGGGCGGCGGCGCGCGAGCGCCTGAGCCGGGGCTCCCAGGGCGAACGCGGCGACTTCCTCGACCTGCTGCTGGAGCTGCGCGACAAGGGTCGCATCGCCGTCGACGACGGCGACGACGACGACAACGACGGAGACGCCAAGGCCGCCCCGGACACAAGCGCCGCCATCTGTGAGTTGACGCCCCGCCAACGGCCATCTGGGCTTGGTTTCTTTGCTTGCTCCCTCCCTCCAGCCTGCAGCCCCTCTTTCCATACACCTAACCCCTCCAAAACATATCCCTATTTCTCCCTAACCCTTCTGTCCATAACTCCTAAACCTCAGCCCCTCCTACCCCTGTCTCCTCTTTGACACCCTCCCCATCCTACGCGTAGCTCTCCTATTCCAACACCTTCTACACCGTCATCCGACTACCTCCTCCCTTTTTCCTTCTATACTCTCTCCTTCCTATCCCTCCTGGCCCTACCAATCCTACCCTCAGCCTTCATATCCCTGCCCTTCCTACCCATACCCTTCCTACCCCTACCCTTTC